GGTGCCTTGTGGGGCTGAACACTCCTGGCTAGGCTTCCCTGCACTCCCCACCACTCCCAGGGCTTTGCTTTGTGTGCAGAGAGACTTTCAATGAATAAAATGTCATCAGCTGTGGCAGGAGCGTGCTGCAGGCTGCCGTCTCGTTGTCTCCTTGTGACCACGGGAAGCACTGGGACCTGTGCCTGGGCTGGGGCCGTGCCAGCGGGAGCTGTGGGCAGCCCCAAACCTGGGATTGTGAATGCTTTTGTTGACCACCAAAAATTAGGCAGCCCCGTAAACCATGTCCATCCTCTGTGCTGTCTGCTGGCACGCAGGCAAATGGAGCAAGTCTTGCTGCTGCCTTCCTGGGGATGCCAAGCGAGCGCCTGCCCAGCACAAGTAGCACATGGGGATGGATCAGGACAACCCCAAGCTGCTGTTGGGGCTGGGGCAGCAGTGGGGGTGAGCAGCAGCACGGGAGTCCCTGCAAGCACAGTACCCTTGGGATTACGGTCCGGATTTCCAGCCAGCACCTCTGCAGGAGGTTGAGAACTTTCTGTGGCTGTATTTCAGCAGAGCAGAGAGGGGAGAACGCGGGTGTAAAGGTTGGCGGTGCAGGAGCCGCAACGAGCTGCCTGGACTTCAGCCTTTCCTTTAAATCTGCGTTGAGAGAAACTCAAAGCAAAGTTCAGCCGAAGCCTGAGCAGCCAGCCAGCTCCCTGGGATTTTGGCATTTGCCACCAGCTTCGCCTCGCTGCTGGCAGGGGGAGAGGGGCTGTGGCAGAGACCATCCGGAGCAAAGCCTGTCTGCAGGCAGCACTGGAAAAGAGGGGTGACCTTATCACTCCAGGAACGTCTCTACCTTTTCCCAAAGCCAAGGGAGGCTCCGGAAACGGAGGGTGGGTGAGTGTCGGCATGTCCTGCCCTGTTTCCGCAGATTGAGGAGTGGCTCGGGCTGGGAGCAACTGGCTTTTGGATGCAGGGGGGTGGTTGGGGGGCTGCATCTCCTTCACTTTTCCCTGGGTTTCTGCAGTTTCCTCCAGCTCCTGTTTAACTTTTTGACACAAAATGGGTTGAAAACAAGTTATAAATTACTTTTTCTTCAGCCTTTGCAGTAGGAGTGCTGGTTACATAATCAAAGTTCACATGGGTTCAGTTTTTCCCTAGTTTGTCTGCATTCCAGTCAAGCTTGGAGCAGCTCAGTTTACACATGTCAAGTTTTGAGATCCTCCCATTTATACCCGGCGTTTCCTGGGTTTCTTACCTTTTGTATAGTCTATAATCCCAGACGCACTTTCGCGGTGCTGCCTAACTTCTGAATCGCTGCGCCGTGCTCCTGCTCAGTCAGGCATCACTTAAAAAAAAAAAAAAAACAAACCTTTTTGTCTTCGATAGAATGCCCTTTAATGAGAAATCAAAAAGGAAAGCGTGAAAATGAGCCAGCTTAGCTGAAATCATTTTTTGACAAGGTTTCGGGAGGATCACTTTGTGCAGCAGAGGTGGATGGCTGCGAGCCCCTTCCCCTCCTTTGCATGCCCTGCTTTGGGCCCGGAAAGGGAATAAAGAGAAGCAGCAGCACAGCGATGATGTTTCCAAGTGCCTCCTTTTCTCCTGCCCATGGGAGGGGAATTGCTGGGCCCTTGGTGTGCGTTTAGCACAGGAGGAAGGGTAATTAGCAGCCTTTATCTGTAGCGCTGGAGTGCTGGTGATGGCTGGCTCCAAGGACAGTTTTCTTCTAGGGACACCTGCAGCCAGAGAAGACGAGGGGTGTTTTGCTGGGGATGGGAAGAAGAGACGGATGTTTCTGCTGATCCCTGGGCTATTTTATTTCCAGTTGCTTGCACGCCGGCCCGTTGTGTGCTGTGGGACAGCATGGTGCGGCGCGTGGCCGTTATCGGGGCTGGGGTTGGTGGGTTGGCCTCCATCAAGTGCTGCCTGGACGAGGGGCTGGAGCCCACCTGCTTTGAGAGGAGCGAGGACATCGGGGGGCTCTGGCGCTACACGGTCAGTGGGCTCTGCCTGCGTGGGGAGGATTGTCCCTGGGTTTGTCCCCTCCCTCGGATGCTCTGTGCCAGCAGCAAAGAGGTGGCTGTGCCCTTGGGGACTGTCCCTGTCCCAGGCATGGGGCGCCCCCCGACTCCAAGGTGGAGAAGGAGACGGAGGGAGCAGAAGCCATGGTCACCAGGAGCTAGTCCTGGTTTCTGCCTTGTACCCGAGATGCTCTGCTGGCTTGGCGGGGAGAAAGCCCTTCCCCACACACCTGCAAATGGCACTTCTGGCTTCCTGCAGGACTCCACAGACAGCAGGAGGGTCAGCGTGTACCCCTTGCTCATAACCAACACCTCCAAGGAGATGTCCTGCTTCAGCGACTTCCCCTGCCCAGAGGATTTTCCCAATTTCCTACCCCACAGCCTTCTCCTGGAGTACTATCGGATGTACGCGCAGCACTTCGACCTCCTGCGGCACATACACTTCAAGGTGAGCGAGGACCCCAAACGCCGCAGGGAGAAGGGGCATCAGTGGCTGCAGATACCAGGGCGTGGCCCAGGTGGGATGGGACAATGCTAGGTGCAAAGCCCATGAGGACCATCTGCCTTTTGCATCCTGAATGCAGCCTTTTCAGCTCCATGATCTAAATTAGGCTGCATGAACATGGGCTGCCTGGTGCATCTCCCAGGGTGGGATTTAACAGCTTTAGAGGTGACACGTGGCTCCCCAGGGACACAGCCTGCCCCCCCACATCCCCAGCCCTTTGCAGACAGGTCCTCTCCGAAACACAGCACAGTCCCTGACTGCCGTTTTGTTCGGCTTTGGTGCAAGACGACAGCTGTCAGCGTGAGGAAGCGCCCAGATTTTGCCACCTCCGGTCAGTGGGAGGTGGTCACCGAGACCAATGGCGTTCAGGAGTCACACGTCTTTGATGCCGTCATGGTTTGCACCGGCCATTACCAGGAGCCCTACTTACCCTTGGCTTCCTTCCCAGGTAAGCCCTGCCTCGGCAGCGGGGTGAGCTGGGGTCCCTTGGCTGCATTTTCCTCTGTGAGCTTGCCTGCTCCATGAAGCCCCTATGCCGGGGCAGGCGGGACCCTCACCCAGTGGGAATGCCTATGGGTATTCCCGGGAATGGGATGCATCCAGTCTCTTGCATGAGAATTTGCAAAGCAGGACCAACATGAAGAAGGTGCAGGAGGGTGGCATCACCCAGGGAGCTAAGACCTCCACAAGCCTCCCAGCTGCAAGGAAGGGTGGAAGGTCTGGGCATGAAGTTGGGGCGAGCACGTGTACCTGGCCGGCAGTAGGAGATGCTCCCTGCTCTCTGCCTAGGTATTGATACCCGCTTCAAAGGCCGGTACCTCCACAGCCAGCAATACAAAGATCCTGAGGCTTTCCGGGGAAAGCGGGTCCTCGTGGTTGGCATTGGCAACACCGGTGGCGACCTCGCTGTGCAGCTGAGTCGCGTGGCTGCGAAGGTACGGCTCCGCGGCAGTGCCAAGCCTGGCCGGGCACCACAAAAGCTGGTGGCTTGGGTATGCACAGGAAGCTTTGCCCACTGGGTTTCTCAATAAATAGACCTTCAAATTGAGGGCAATTGAAGAAGCTTGGCAATTCCTGGAGAGTTTGGGCCCCCTGAGGCACAGAGTGGCCATTCAGCAGCTGTGGGTTCTTTGCGGAAGCCACCACGAGCTGTTTGATTCACCTGGCTCCTTCCCTCAGGAAAACCCTCTTGGTTCCCAAGAGCATGAGATGGGATTTGCCATTCAGGGTAAAAACCAGCGGACAGCTCTGCGGGCAGGAGGCTGAGAGCTGCCCTCTCCCCCAGGTGTTCCTCAGTGCCAGGAGCAGCACGTTGGTGTTCAGCCGGGTCTCGGACCACGGCTTCCCCTTTGACATGGTCAAGAACACCCGCTTCAACCACTTGGTTGAGTCGCTTCTTCCATCAGCCCTCATGAAGAGGATCATGTTTCGGCAGGTCAATTCATGGTTTAACCATGCAAACTATGGCTTGGCTTCTACCAAAAGGTATTTTTTTCTCACTATTCGTTTGGTTGGTCAGGGGGTTTTAATGACATTAAATGCTCAGTTTTTAATTTCAGGGAATATTTGTGGAATTGCAAACCCTTGGAGGGGAACAAAAAGATATTTTGGGTCCCTCGCAGATGCTAACATTGGTGTCCTCCTCTTTTCTACCTGCAAGCTCCAACGTTAAGAGAATTTTGAACGAAGAGCTGCCATTTTGCCTCCTCTGTGGGACTGTTGTGTTGAAGCCAAAGGTGAAGGAGTTCACAGAAACCTCTGCTCTTTTCGACGATGGGACAACCGAAGAAAACATCGATGTGGTGCTCTTTGCCACGGGCTATGTCTTCCCATTTTCCTTCCTCGAAGAGTCAGTTCGCAGCCAATTCGATGACAACCGTTCCCTCTATAAACGCGTCTTCCCTCCCCATCTGGAAAAACCGAC